TCAGACTTCTTAAATTCCTGTGAATTCTACTTCCTTTAGACAGGTCTGTGGATGGTGCTTTTAACTCAGCCTCTGTCATTACTCCAGCACTGCCCACCTGCCAGTGACCTTGAATAGTCTCAGTCTCCTTGTTTGTCATAACTGTTAACTTACCCAAGGCATTCTGAGAGTTTGGCTAGCTGAATCTGAAAACAAAATACCCAAACAAACAAACAAGCAAACAAGCACTGCACTGTCTCCAAACCTCAAACAAAAACTCAACTAGCAAGTGAGGCCAAAGAAACTGCTCCAATTCATAGCTGGCCAAGAGGCCTTTGGAAACTGTACCTTCACCCTCAATTTGGCAAACTCCAGCTTGGCAGGGAAGTCAGAGACAGGCTGACCCAGCTGGTTGACTACAGACTCTCTAAGTTTGGGAGGGGGACTATCCCCCAACTTTCCCAGGTGACATACCGAAACCTCAAACTTAACTATGACTATAAAGGCCTTCTGCAAAGCGCTGTGCAGAGGCCATTATGATAACTTGATTCTAATTAGCACACATATTACTGCTATTCCTTGCTTCCTATGCAAACAGCCCTCAGACACATTTTAAAGAAAATGTCCCGTCAACCAAGAAATGATCCAGGGACTAAACAGATAGCTCGGCAGTTAACACTGGCTGCTCTTGCAGAGGACCCAGGTTTGGTTCCCAGCACCCACATAGCAGCCAACAACAGTCCATAACTCCAGTTTCAGGGTATCCAATACCCACTTCTGGCCTCCAAGGGCAATGTGTACAACTCACATACATGCAGGCAAAACACTCATACACATTACCAAAAAAAAAAAAAATCCAGTCCTTTTTGCTACATTTGGGATTGCTCTTAAGCCTAAGTGGTTTACTTTGGGTACACATTTCCTAACCAGGGATCTGAGGGCACCGCCAAGACCTGGGCTGGGGGGAAGGGGTGCGGAGGACAGGGGGAATGCAGGCATGGTCCTGCGGTTGCTCTCCAGCTCACATTGCAGTAGCAATTCTTTGTAGAGGAGGTAACTAAGGAAGAGCTCCCACTCCCCTAGCTTGGCACTCTCATATATGCATGTGGGGAGACATACTCCAGCAAGGCCAGAACAGTAGGCAGCCTATGAGCCATGGGGACACAGGGACAAAGAGGACAGCCAAAGCACCAATCAACAGGTTCCTTCACCCCCAAATGAACATTACTCTATCATCCCCCTCAATAAGTTCTTAACCTTGCCAGTCCACCCTTCCTGGGACAAGAGTGCATCCATAATCATTTGAAAAATGACTAGAAACTAAATTATCAATACACTTTAGATTTTCTACCTCTTTAAAAAAAAGCACTTCTTTTAGGTTTCCCCCATCCGCATTCGACCTCTACATAAGACAGCCAGCTGGGAGAGTTGAAACTCCCTGTTCACTCCTCACCTACCATCTATTGCCCTCACCCCATCCCACCCCCATCCCCTTTTTTCTGTCAGACCATTCTGGTTTGAGAAAGAACAGGTAAGTAGCTGGCACAAGCACTACAAAGGGGCCACACCAGTTCCCACCATGTCCTGATCACTTCTTAATGGGCATCATGAAGCCTAGGAAGCAAAGTGACTGCTGGGCTGAGGAAGGAAAAGGCACCCAACAGCCTAAAGAAACACAAATGTTGCGGGTAAAACAAACCCAGTGCCATGACATGGAAGATGCAAGAGAAACACAAGAGACTCAGCACCCCAAGTGCCCCATGGCCACATCAGGATAACAGACTGGAAAGATAAACAACTGGGCCCACAGATGACAAAACCTTACACTGATTACCAAGTTCCCAAACAATGAAGGCTCCAAAGATAAAGCCCAAGCCGCCATCAATCACCTTTCAGATCACCAACACAACTGAGACAGACTGCTGTTACTAAAAGCAGGTAAGACACAATGCCCAGGTATATTTCATTGTAAAGTCATAAAGGAACTAGAGAATGAGGTGTATTAAATTAAAAAAAAAAAAAATCCCTTGGCTCAGGATCCAAATGGAACCAAATCAGGGAGGTGTAGTGGGGAGGGGGGCGTCTCTTCTCATTGACATAACCTGTTATCCCAAACATCAGTCAAATAAATGTGGAGACTGTATTATGGATTCCTGACAACAGATTTCAGAACAACTAATGAGGTGAGTCATATGCAGAGAACAGTCGCTCTGACTCTAGCCAAAGAACACACTTCCCCTTACACTCTCAAGTTCAGATCTGACTTGGTTATATCTACCCTTCCCCCAAATAAAAGGAGGGTTTTAAAAGGAGCTGCATTTTAAGGTTTCCTTTACTTCTCATTCCCACTCATATTCTGGACACATATTCTCAGAGTTATCTAGAATTGGCTAGGCCTGGCAGGGCTGAGGAAACACTCTGCCCAGTATTTTGTTATCCAAACCCAGCCACTCTGATTACCGTGAGCCCATCTGATCTGACACTCCTATTCCTTCTTCGGGCCTGCTGGCTGGCAGGGAGCCCTGGGCACCAATGTTCCAGCTGAGAAAAGTCCATTTCACCGCATAAGATTTTAAAAAACAATGTAAAAAATGACAATTGATCTTGGTGAAAGTCTTTACTTGAAAAGTCAAAGTAGATGGTGACTCTAAGATGCTATTTAAATAGGAGATTTACTTGTTGGGCAAAGATAAGAGTTCCCTTATGGAACCCAATGGGAACTTCCCCTTGGCCTTCCTTTGAGGAGCAATTAGCAGCATTTCTCAGTATTTTTCATCTTTCATATTTCTCAGGGAAAAGGAAAACTGTTTCCTCACTTTGAAAGGGATCAGGACTGAGAAGCAGCAAACCGTTTATGAAGATCTGATCTGCTTACGGTTCTAATTACTTGGTAAGTCCCAGCAACAATGGCCTTGCTGCATGTAGGCATGGCACGCTATATAAACAACACACAGATGTCTCCACTTGAATCTCAGGGCGAAGGATCTACCCCTGGGTCAGTTCAGAAAAAGGAGAGCATCAAGGCTTTCACTTAAAAAAAAGAAACGTGTCAGGTGTGGTGGTGCATGCCTTTAATCCCAGCGCTCAGGAAGCAGAGCGCTGTGGATCTCTGTGAGTCTGAGGCCAGTCTGGTCTACATAGTGAGTTCCAGGCTGGGCTCCAAGGAGACCCTGTCTCAAAAAGACCAAAAACTAAAAAATAAAAAAAACTGTTGTCCATACAAAGCCCACCAGTGTTCTCTAGTTAGTGCCCCCTCTCATTCTGGAGCTATACTTAAAAGAACATAGTCTGATTTGAAGAGAAAGTCATTTATCTGTGCATTTGTGGCTAAAATAATCTTTAGGCAATGGTTTTGGAGGGTACAGGCATGGAACAGTCTACCAATTCTACCACAACTTTAATATTGAACCTACTTTTCATTCTTTGATTTTAAGTTTAGCCCTTGTTTGGATAAACACCCTTCTGGATTTTTCTAAAGCTTTCTATTGGGGAGGGGAGTGTTCTCCATCTTCTTTATAATGCAGCCTCCCCCTTTCCTACTCTCCCACCCAAAGGTGAGTCACCACAGTGTTACAAACTTGACAGCAGAGAACACTACAAATTAACAAACAAGTTTCCAAAAGAGGATACAGCCTTCCAACCCTGGACAGAAAGAACTCAAGACCCTAAGAGTCCCGATCTGCTATACTCTTCCACTGTATGACTAAGAGTCAAAGGTGGAAGGGACCTCACAGCCTATCTCTGCCCCCCTAGAGCCAGCCACCATTGCCTCCTATAAGGACTTTCACTTGCTCCTGGCCAGGCTGAGCAACTTCCCACTGGGAGGACTCTGCCTTTCAGTGTTTTGAGTCTAAAGTACTAGCTTTATAGCAGCCAGAGGGTATACAGTCACACTTCTAAGTTGGGCTCCAAGAGGACAGCTGATAAACGTTACCATACAACCAAGATTTCTGCTGACAGAACCCCTTGTGTAACCTTCACCTGAACCTTCTTCCCTGCCCATCTTTAAATCACCACCCATAAGGTAGGATTTATTTTCCAAGGCACTGAAAAGCTAAGGAGACCTTCCCTGACCCCATCTATCATAAACTTGGGGGGCGGGGGGCAGCAGCAAGTTCTCTAAACAATTACAATGTGTACCTTTGGTGAGCTAAACAGTTGTGGGTGGTAGGCCTCACTGAGGACTTAAGACAAGTCACTGGCAAAAACACCCAATAAGAAAAAAAAAAAAGGGACAAAATCCTATTTCATACCAGGAATGATTCAGCAAGAGCTGTTCTTTGATTTTCCCACCAAATGCCCAGGACCTAGACTTTGAAAGATACAGAATCACCTGAAAATATCCAACCCCAACTATGGATGGCACTTGAGAGAAGGGGGGGTGGTTAACAATGACCTTAAAAATTAGCTGGCAGCAGACTTCCTGGTTAACCAATCAGCAGCAGAGCTTTAGTCACCACCCCGCCCACGTTTTAATCCCCATGTGGAAAAATCCCAACATTTCAGTATGAAATTTTCTTCTGACCAGTTCCAACTATCATAAGCCACTGGAAAAAGATATAGACACACACAGACAGACGCACGCACACTCAACTTTGGCTACAGCTAATTTATCTGAATACTCCAAATACTACTTGTATTTAGTATTTAGACAGCATACCATCCTGTGTCAACCAAGCACAATCTTGTGTTTGATAGTCCCTAGATATTCTGTTAGGATCCATAAAACACCTAGATGAATTTACACTAAATACTCAGATGGGCTGTTATTGTACCACCACTGTTCATATGTGAGATTCATCTAGGCACACATGCATAACTTGGTGACTCAAACATCTGCCTGACTTCCTAATTCATTATCACAAATATTCCTTTGAGTTCTGCATATCAAGTGATGGTTAAGGAATAGATGTATAGGTTTGAGAGCAACAGGCTGTTCAGTGCCTGTTCTGCCACTAAACAACCATTTGACCTTGAACAAGTTCCTTCACCTTCCTAGGCCTTGGGCTGTCTTCAGACTTCCTAAAAGCTACTTAAGTCTCCACTTGAGAAAGATACTTTTCTTCTTGAGGGGAGAAAAGATGAAAGAATGAGCTTTAATGAATAAAGCGTTTACAGGAACGGCCTAGACTGTATGCAGCATGAGATACATAAACCCACCACCCTGGGAAGTAGAGAGGCCTTGGCACTCAGCTCTTAGCTCCATGCTAGATGATCTGACCAGCCCTCCACACTCTAAGCTTTCAAGAGATACAGGCTGGGTACTCCCACCGTCCCTCTTCTCCCTACCAGGCCCAAGCTTTCCAATTATCTCCTTCAAAAATCCATTTAGAGTCTCCAAAGAATGTGCTTCTTCCCTTTGCCCCCATCTCGGTCCACACCCATGTGCCTTAGGACCTGCAGAGCAGTCTACACTGCAGCGGAGGGAGTGGACTCACACCTGTATTCTCATAGCCTAACGTTTTTTTAACCCAAGAACTGGCATTTTTAGGGTTATTTTGGGCAAATTTTTCTGGGCTAGATTTGGGCTGCTTTGCAAAGGGTCAGGAACTCATTCTTCTAAGGTGAGTAGGAGAAATTCGGGTGGGAATAGCGTTGTTCATGCCCTGAGTCCCCTCATTTCCTTCGGGAACCGCTCTTGGAGGAGCCGAAGATGCAGGAAACTGGCAACGCATTTCCAACACCATCTACTGCCCGGGTCTCCAGTCCTTTGTCGGATGAATCGTACCCGGTGGGTCATTCCGTCCCCCTTCAAGGATCATCCTCCGCCATAAATCCACACACCCCTGCCCACAGTTAAGACAGCTCCAGTAAGCAAGGGCGCATCCTGTTATGGAAAGTGACCCATTAAAGCTCTCAAAAGTATACCTTAAAGGCCATCTTAGGGCGGTGAAGTCACACCCTTTCTGGCACCAGCTTTGCTGGGCTAGCTCTGCCGAAGGGGAAGCCAGTTTTTTTCCTTTTGGGAGGGCGGTCGCCTCTGCGGGGAGCTGGCTGAGCCCCAGCGCCTCCAAGAGAAGGGGAGCCTCCGCTCGGAGAGTGCCCCCGTCGGCGCCCGGCTGCGGCGGGAACCGCCACCGGGAGGGGGCCCAGCGGAGCGCCCCAGGGGAAGGGGAGGAGCGCGCCTTCCTGCGGGCTCGCTGGGAGGAGGGAGAAAGGAAGCGCAGAGGAGCGAGGTGAAGGCGAAAGCCCGGCTGGGGGATGCAGCCTCAGCAGCTCCGCCGCGGGTCCCGCAGCCCCGGCCCTCCACGCCCACCCCTCGGTCCCCTCTCCCTCCACCAAGTGCGCAGTCTCGAGAGCCGCTTTCTCCCGCCGGCCTTCCCTTCCGACTTCCTCCTCCTCCTCCAGGGGCTCGCCCGGCACTCACCCCCTTCCCCATGGTGGCGGCGCTCCGAGCCCCGCACGGGCTCCTGTTGCTGGAGAATCGGGAAAGAAGAAAGCAGCTCCCGGCCGCGCGAGCCGGGCCGGGGGAGCGAAGAGGCAGAAACTACGGCGGCCGCGGGCCGGGAGGCAAGGAAGGAGGCCGGCGAGCGGCTCGGGCCGACACCGCCGCTGCTGCCGCTGTTGCTGCCACGTGTCCGCCTCCTCCCGCCGAGACTCAGTGCCCCAGACCCAGCCGCAGCTCGAGCCCGCGCCTCCTCCTCACTTCCTAAAATATGCAACCTGCGTGAAGGCTCCGCCCACGCCCGCACGTCACCGTTACCGGAGCAACCTGACACCCGCTCGATTCTGGCTCCGCCCCCGACTCTAACCCCTCCCCCCCGACCCGCTCCCCTAGGCCCGGACGGTGCTGGCTGCTGCCTGCCGGGAATCCCTGCAGAGGGCGCCGGGGCCCGGAGCGCGCGTGCACACATCCCGGGAGAGCTGCGGCGCGCGCCTCCCTGCGGGACCGCGCGGGAACCCGGCCGCCCGAGGCCCTCCTCCCTCGCCTTGCGTGACCAGCCTGCTGAGTAGGGCCCAGAAGGTCCTAAGTGGGTGTGGTGCCTTGGTGGAACCCCGTTATCCTACTGGCCCAGAGTGGCTTTTGTCGGGGATCTGGGCGAGGGGAGGTCGCAGCGTTGCACCGTGGGGCTCGGATGTCACTCCGAGGGGCTCCGCCTCTGCAGAATCCAGGCCCCGCGCCCACCTGCTGATGCACCGCACTTCCCACCCCCCACCCCCACTAGAGAAATGCTTTTGAACTCGCACGCACACGCCACATACACCTTCTTTCCTTGAGGACCCGCAAAACGGCCGCCGAAGGAAATTCATTCACTGCACTGTGTGAATGAAGCCAGATTGTCAAAAGAAACCTGCTTGACTTTTGAGACATTCTTTATTTTAAAAGAGAAAAACCCGAAACTCAAAGGAATGCATATCTTTTAATAAAAGAAGGTAACTCCAGGGGGGCGATGGCTGAGAACTGTCTCCAGCTAGGCACCTCACTCTATCCAGGCAGCACCTCCTCCAGGGCGAAGGTGGACTCTCCGAGAGGCGTAGGCTCCTCCCTTGTCTTCCCACCGACCGCCTCGCCGGGCTGCAGGGAGGGGCTTCTCTCTATAGCATCTGCTGCTTAGCCGGGGCCGCAGTGCAGACATTCAACAATTACTAAACAAAGTAGTGGTATTAACAATGTCAGGAAGTCGAGAGCGCTGGGAAAGCCCAGGATTCACAGGAGAAAATCGCTCCATACATCTGGGAATTCCTAGGAGAAGCAAGGAAAATATTAACTCCTGAGGTTAAAGCTAACTATCAACTTCAAGTATCAATTCAGGGTAGGACACTGAGCTTGAAAAAAGGGGGCGAGGTAGGAAAGACGGTAAAACAACCACAACAATTAGCAACTGTGTTATCCATAATAGCATAGGACAGCAGCTTTCCTTAGAAGCAACTGTTGCTTATAGGAGAATGCATGATCTGCAGCTTTTATCTCCTCCAGTGATCTACAGACTTGATTAAGTCAGCTCAGGCCTTCCAGAGCAGAGGCACTGGAAGCAGAATTCAAACCCAGGCTGCTGGAGAAAGAGCTACCACACCCACAGCCATGGTCCTAGCATTGTTAGTGTAACAAGGTGAGGCTGTATGCCTTTCCATGCCTGACCCCAGTTACTGTTACTGTGCAGGATGCTCTTGCTTGCTGAAGATCTTAGTTTAAGATTAATCATGCCCAAGGCCCTGGCTGAATGAGAATGCAATAACAACAAAAACGTAGAAAGCACAAGTCTGAGCACTACTTGCCGTTCTTTCCTTCCATAGGTAAGCCAATCATCCATTCAGTCAACAAAATGAACCTGATAGATTAAGAAAGACTTTTTTTCTTTAGAGCTGTCTGCTTGGCAACTGTGGGTCACTGATGTCCTTTGAGGAGGACCCCAAATTTCTAGCTGTGTGGGCAAAATAATAAAACTTTAATTAAACCTTGTATTTTGCTTTAGGCATCACACAATAATTTATCTTGCCCTTGGATTCTCACAGGGCTACCAGGGGGAAGGGTGAGGGCGAAGAACATAGAGACTCTCCCAAGAGTCACTCAGCTACTGACTGAGGGGGCTTGGCCTCAGAATTGCAAAGTGAAGCCATTTTCATCCCAAGTACTTTGGTCTCTGAACATAGAACCAACTTCCCATGGCAAAGAGTGATGGCAAGAATCCCTGCCTGGTTGAAATGTGGAGCCCTGGCTATGGACATGAACCAACAAGGCAAGGCCAGTTGGCTAAGAAGGCAGTGTGAGAGTCTCCGGTCCAAGAGATACATCAGAGAACATAGGTGACCGAAAGTAAAGGACGTCTTTTCTTGGGAAAAGGTAGTGGTCTTTTGTTTTGTTTTGGTTTTGGTTTTTCTCTTTCTCTTAGGAGAGGTTTCTGAATGAAACCTTAGAAATCAAAGACAGGCAGTCTTTGTTTTATGATGAAGAAATTGAGGTTCAAGGAATGATGAACACTGGTCATTCCAAAAATAGTGGTAGGGGGCTGGAGAGATGACTCAGCAGTTAAGAACATTGTTCTTGCAGAAGACCCGGGTTCGAGTCCACATGGCAGCTAACAACTGTCCATAACTCCAGTTCCAGGGAATCTGAGAGCCTCTTCTGCCCTCCGCAGGCATTGCAGGACACGGGTACACTTACCTACATGCAGGCAATACACGCATACACATAAAATAAAAATAATAAAATATTTTTTTAAAAATAGTGGCAGAACTTACAGGTACCTTTTCTAGCTCCTAGTCCCATGGAGCGGGGACGGGGGCGGGGGTAGTCAAGTGATGCCTCTCCTCTCTGCTTCTTAATCTGTCAGTTCTTTTAAGGATGCTAGCTCGGGGCACAATTAAATAGATGAGCTCAGAGAATCAGCATTATAGACCTCAGGGCTGCCAGGTGTGGACAGCTTAGGGGAAGATCTGATCACAGCCTAGAAGGGCTGACCCAATCACTGTGAACGGAGTCAGCAGATGTATGAAAAATATGAGGCAAGCCAGTATTCTCAGCCAAGAATGCTAGCACTCAGAGTAAGTACTTGCTGAATTGAATAAACATGACACTGCATTTAAGGACTTCAGAAGATGAGCTGGAGACCATGGCAAATTAGCATTTTCTATAGGAAGCAAATATTTGGGGCATCAGTGAGCTAGGAATTTGGAATAATGAGATTTTCCTTGACCTAGCTTGGCCTAGAGTTAGTATGAAAATAATGATAAACTTGCTTTTTTTTTTTCTTTACCCATTTCCAGGCTCCCCCAGAAAGCCCCCTCCTGCCTTAAGGTCCACTGTACACATCACCCTACAATTCCAGCTCATGAATGCTCCTCTACCAGAAAATGCATTTCCTTTCTCCTGTCCAACAGCAGGTGTATTGCTGCCTGCTTTAGCTTTTAATCTAAAAAGTGATATTTACTTATTTATTTGGGGGAAAGCGTGCATGCTGCAGCATACATGTGAAGGTCAAAGGACAACGTGTGGAAGTCCATTCTCTCCTTCACCAAATGGGTCCTGGGGACTGAACTCAAGCTGTCAGGCTGGCAGCAAGTGCCTTTACCTGCTAAGTAATCTCCCTGGCACGTTGCTTCCTACTTCAAAAGCACAGTCTGTGCACATCACCAACCATCCCAATTGGCAGAGAAGTAATTCTGACTCCTATAAACTTTCCTCCCAAGCCTCATTGCCTAGTCTTCTCTTAGTTCCTTTTGAAAATTCCTTAATATTCTCTTCAATGTGTATTCTCCTATTAATGGTTGAAGAAATCACGATTTGCCTTTGGAAATGTGCGGACTTCAGCATTTATTTGGTGACTGTACAGGTTATTACCAACCACAGCAGAGTCAATTCCTATGTCCCATCCCTTTAACATAACTGTCACTTAAATAATGTACTTTTATTAAGAGCAGTGTTTATAAATAAAGCAGTAACAAGGGATCCTTTAACCATTTCTGTGTTTTACAGTGGCTCCTGAAATTTTTAATCAGGATTGTATCTTCTCTTCTACACTGCCCACCCGACATTTCTACTGCCTTCATCCCAATCCAAAGCACCAAGACAGAGTATAAAGGCCTCGTAGTTCAAAACTCATTTATTCAAATCAGCAGCCATGGGGGAACTGCAAAGAAAAAATCAAATGGTAACAAAGAAGACATCTGGCTTGAAAAATATTCTGCTCTGAGAGGTCCATCTTCATCCAGTCAGCATGGGCAAGCCCTTAGCCGAGATGAGGTGGCAGGAGGTGATTGTCATCCACCATGCGCCCTCAGGGGCTAAAGCCTTGGGTTCTGAGGAAGTAAGTGCTATCTCTGTGCTACTTGGATTTGCTATTCTTGGTCTGAAAATCTTCCATACAAAAACAATCAAAAGTGTTCTGTGGAGGTCGGCCCTATTGAAACCAATACTTGTCCATAGATGCCAAGGCGCCAGAGCTGGGTGTCAGAGAACATGCAAATTTTTTTCTTAGTAAAGAGCCACCTTAAGAGGAGAGAATACAGACCATCAAAAAGTAGTTTAATTCATTTATGAAAGTCTAGAAGCTTTTGCAACAGCTGTAGAAGTAACCAAAAAAGTAGGTCAGGTATAAAAATAGTAACCAGCTGGATTCATTTCTAATAGCTTATGTTTTAGCCAGGAGACTGCCATTTTAGTGATAGATGACCCTCACATGTGAACTCTCACAAGGAAGTCCCTAGGAAGGGTTCCCTCTTTTACTTCCTCTCTCATAAAAAGCCGTAACTCTGGTACTCTTATACTATTTAACAGTAATTAAGAGCCCGTTTATGAAGACAACATCCCCAATCAAAAACAAAACCAAACTTCTCCACAATAGTTATCATTGGGTATGTAGGTATGAACCTTGCATAGTGCCTGGTGTTGGTGTGTAAAGATGAAAATGAACTCTCTACCCTCAAAGAACTCACTATCTGGTATGAAGAAAAGACAGGAGAAGAGATGTTAGTGGCACAGTGAGGGAGCTGGATCTAGGCAGAGCATCAGCAAGGGATGAAAGAGGAAACGGCCAACTCTGCCTGCAGAATTGGGAAGTGGCCCTGACTGGAGAGAGAGGCGGCGGGGGGGGGGAGTTCATTATGTGGGCACTGTGTTTGGGAGGGTCAGGGGGACCCAAATAAAGCAGCACGTGGGTAAAGTCTTCAGGACATAAACTTGGGCTGTTGGAGGACTGGCTAGCAGTTCTAAATGCCTGGAGCCTG